AGTTTTATTGCTTTTTGCCGGATTGCAATAGTTGGTTTACTGTACCACAATGATCCCATAATGTCATCGCTGGGAGACCGCAGAGTGGATTCTGCTCATTTTTACACACCCTGCTCTGGTGTACAAGCTCGACTGAAGCCCATCAAAGCTACTAGGGCTACCTACCTTGGTCCCTGTCCTTAAAAGTGCATTCTTTATTACTCAAAAGTTACAGAAGAATGAAAGAAAACACACCAGTATTACTATTCAAAATCCAGACAGGATCAGTAAACGGCCTGTAACACTATCCTCTCCCGTCTCGCTTCCTGGTCCTCTGAAAACAGCAGTGTAAACAAGCGACGCTCCACGAGAGAAGAAAAACAGCACAAGCCTCCGCAACAGGCTGATCTATAGAAGACAAGCAGAAGGGTCCTGTCTAAACACTGCCTCTTATTAAATACGGTGTGACGTAAAAGCACAGGGGGAAAGGTCAGGGTTACTCAAACACTGAACACGGGCAGCGGCCTGACGGAAACAAACGTCTTTCTCCACTTCCCCGTGCAGAAGAATGACAGTGTGTGTGCAAATGTACACTAACATTCAAACGTTTAGGGTCAGTAAGATTTTTTGAAGACGTCAATACTTATATTAATCACGGGTGCATTAAATTAATCAAAAATGACAGTAAAGACATTTATAATGTTACAAATAAATTCTGTTTTTGAACGTTCTACTCATTAAAGGGTTAGTTCACCCAAAAATTCGTTCATCTTCCGAACACAAATTAAGATATTTTTGATGGAATCTGAGAGCTGTCTGACCCTGCATAGACAGCAACGCAACTGAAATGTTCCCAAGTCCAGAAACGTAGCAAGGAGATCGGTAAAATAATCCATGTGACATCAGTGGTTAATCCGCAATTATACGAAGCTACGAGAATACTTTTTTTGTGCAAAAGGAAAAAAAAAAAAGACTTTATTCAACAATTCGTCTCCTCCGCATCACCCTGGTGCCATTTTGGAGAATATCTGCTGGTCGTAAACAGCGTATGCTGTTCTGTGTCAGCTGCGTCACATGTATACGCTGTTTCCGTTCAGATCAAATCACAACAACGTATAAACAGATTTGCCGTGACGTTTTGGGTGAACTAACCCTTTAAAGAATCCAGAAAGAAAGGTATCATAGATTCCACAAATATATGAAGCAGCACAACTATTTTCAACATTTATAAGAAATGTTTCTAAAGCAGCAAATCACATTTTAAAATGATTTCTGAAGGATCATTTGACACTGAAGACTGAAGTAATGATGCTGAAAATTCAGCTTTGCCTTCATAGGAATAAATCACATTTTAAAATATATTCAAATAGAAAACAGTTATTTTAAATTGTAATAAAGTTTAACAATATTACTGTTTTTACTGTATTTTATATATATATATTAATAAATGCAGCTTTAGTCTTTTGGCACGTTTTAATATTTTCCCTTTATTTTAGTCCATTGTGCTTTAAATGGCTTTCAAATTCAAGTGAAACTGTAAATAACATTTTAGAAGGCAAAAATTAACAAAATGAAAAAGTCAAACATTTAACCAAAATAAAAATTGTATTAACATTTGTACAGTTTTTTAAAAAGCTTTAAATTATTTGATTTTTTTTTTTACTATTGCATATTCCACTTGATTTACTCTTTCTGTCTTGCCTTTCTTCCCTTTTTTCTCACGTCGCTCACAATTTCAGGTTTCATCAACATGCTTCCCATGTGTGACTCATTGCAGTTCCCAGAAATTATTTCATTTTTTTTTCTCCCCCAAGTCATTTTTATGTAATGTGCATCATGGCCCAAATATGCTGCTCTCCAAAAAAAAAACATATTTGTGTTGCTGTAGCGATCATTCTAAAACACGTTCCTTCCGAGTTCCTCGGCTAGTCCGGATAGTCTCAAGTGCGACCACGCAGGAATCCGGCACCCACCATCTCATAATGTCTGTGGTGGCCCAAAAGAAAGAAAAAAAAATCTGGGGGATGATACTTGTGGAAACAATGCTCCAATCCCTGGAGCTTCACCTTCCATTGATACTCCAGAAAGGCCCGTTTGTATTTCTAAATTAAGTTTCTTCCTCCTTTTATGGGCCTTCGTGTTCCTGAGCCCACTGTGTAAAGGGCCTTTTGAAAGCGGGGTTTTAACACACAATTGGATTACAGCAAAGCACTTGGTGAGAAAGCAGCGGGTTGGGACGAGCGGACCTGCAAGAAGTACAGATGGTTTAGCGCATGCATAATGAAACAGACCAGGGGGTGTGTGTGTGAGTGTATGCACTCGCCCCCCTAAAGCCCTCGGCCTGGCCTGGGAGAGGAAGGAGGCAGTCGGAGTCGGAGGCAGGCCAGGGGGTATAATGCTCCTACCCAACCTGCCTGCCGCCGCAAGCCGGTCCTAATGGTCTAATTAGGGAATCACCTCGCCGACAAATTCAGCCACGTTCCTTTTGGTGAAGCAACCTGAGCCCGTCTCAATTATCCCAGGCTTGTTATCGGACACTAAATAATGTTGTTTTACCTCGGCATCCCTTTTTGATTGTTCCATAATGAATTCCATTTTCGAATCAAGGCGGAATAACACGTTGACTGAGTCACTCCAGGTTGCTTTTCTTCTCCCACACCCGAGCGGCGTTCCCATCTTTTGGATGGTTCGGCGGCCCATAGAGTGGCTTGTTATGCTCTTGTATAGAGGATTTAGGCCTGGTGAATGGGCCTGTTTGTGCACGGCATTTAGTTGTTTGTTGTTTAGTGTCTTTTTTTGTTGTTTATTTCGGGCGGGAGGGTTTTTTTTATTTCCCCCCTCGCTCTCCGAGGGCCCTCAACAGGGGGTAAATGCAGATGTGACACACAGAGTCTGGGTCTCACGCCTCATTTGCATATTTAATTAGCAATGGGCACTGTGTGAGAGAGCACTTAGTCCGCGGAGGGCAACTGGGAGAGTGTGTGAAAGTCCCTGCACACACGCACCCACCCGGCACCCGGTTTCCCAGCCCCTTTCGTTGCGCTTTCACATATCTCTGGGCTGTTGCTGGGGTGGGGGATGTTGCTGTGTTTTTTTTTCCGCTGTTTCGGCCCACTCTTCAGATTGCCTTTGTTTTAAACTGTTGATGCAGACGGTAATGCTGAGCTGAATGCAAACAAGGCCCTAAATTGTTTACTTTGTCTAGGAGCAGATGAAGGGGCTGGCCAAACTTTATTTATTTATTTATTTTTATTTTTTTTGTGGTGGTGGGGGTCTGGGTTTAGCTTTTTTCTTCTCTTATCAAAAGTTGCTTTCTGCGATTTATCGTAAACTGAGATTTTAATAATTTTGTATGCTAATCATAGCACAGTTTAGCCTATTAGTTACATTTGTGTTCCAAAGTGTTGGTTTAACTAGAGATGCACCGGCCAATAATCGGTATCGGCTGATAAAAGCGATTTATTTCATTATCGGCCATCGGCGGATTGTTCAAAATCAGCCGTTGATCATGGCCGATTATATTCCATATATTATTATATTCTATATAATATTACATATCCGATCTATATTCTTCAAGCCAGGGTTGCCAGATCCGCAGTTTTTCTCTACACCAAACATTTGTAGCGCGCCTCCCATCCGATAATCGCAAAGAGCTTTGTGCTTTCTTACTTCTGAAAAGAAACAAAGTCTCAGCTTTCAAATCCTGTACATTCTATCACGAAATTCAAACAATGAATGCCATTTTGATGCTTTTAAATGTGACGTGACAGATCGCTGTAGCACCTTTATCTTCTTTTATCAAAAATTACCTTTCTGTGAATTATCTTTAACCGAAATTTGAAGCATTTTGTAAACAAATTTTTTGCACAGTTTAGACTTTAAGTTTTTGTTCCAAAGTGATATTTTTAACGTGTATTCTGCCAACAAATGAATGTGTAAAAAGTCATGAATCAGATTCCGATCCCAAATTCGCCAGCCATTTTTCTTTGTGCTTGCTAGCATGATATAGGTAATATTTGTCCCAGCACACCTATTTTATCGGTGGGAAATGAATACTCACCCCAGCCCCTAAATCATCTTAAAGGGTGTTTCTATGCCATTTTTGGCTGTCGTAGAAGAGTTAAAGGGACCCGGGTGAATCTTTGCGAAAGTTCCCTTAATGTCACGGCACGAATCATTGCTATCGCAGCTAATGGCACCGTTAAAGAGCACTTCTTGGGAGAAATCGGAGCCCATCAAATTTATAGGGCCTTTTTTATGCAGTACACCCAAATCTGAAGGCTTTCTCTCTCTCTCTAGATTTATTTCCATAAGTGCCTCGGCTGCAAATAGCACACTCAGTGTGAATTCACAGCCCAGACCCCACTGTTGGTCTGACCTACCGAGCCGCGTGCCAAAAGGACATTGGCTAGAGTACAGTCAGACCTTCTATTCCGATAACTTCCCTTTGCATCTGAATGCTCTTACAGTTAGGTCTGTCAATTGAGTTCACATAATTCACTTTAACTTTATTTTGTAAATTGTATTTATTTATATTTTATTGTAATTCTATATCTTAACATATATTATTAAATGTAATTTACCATGTTGTTCTTATATATATATATATATATATATATATA